CAACTCATCCCACTAAAAGGATCAGAGTGCAGTTCCCGTGGCAGCCACAGAAGCTCTCCTAACAAAAGCACATTATGCATAGAAGAAGGTTGTTTTTTCTCCTTAGCCTGACCAGGCTCACCCATTTTTCCTTCCAAACTTTTGTTCCTCTGCCCCTTCTTGCCTCCTAAGGCAAGAAGCAAGATCTGAGGCTTTCCTCCAAGGCTAGGACATGGTATGGCCCCATACACAATGCCAAGTGACTTGACCGTGTGACTTGGGAGCTTTCTGAACTTTTCTGTGGTGCTGCAGTGCTTTTGTGGCAACCTGTTGTAAGACAGACCTAAAGATGCAGTAAGGTCTCTGTGCATCTATCTCTGGTTCCTCTTGTTCCTCCATTTCCCTCCTCCCTTCACCAAACTGTTTGGTTTCTTGCAACCAGAGTGGAGAACCTACAGAGAAACTGGGATTTAGGAGTTAGTTTGAGATAGTCTTCAACAGTCGCCACAATTTATGTGCTCATAAACAAAGGACATGCTTCAGAGTTGACTTTGTCATTCTTCACAGTTGAGTGCCCTTAGCAATGCTGCTTTTACAAGCAGCTTATCCTATGCAACGTAGTACCATCTGACCTTTGGCCTCAAGGTGGAAGAACCTGTGTCACTTTCCTGGATGTACTCTGCTAATTTATTTTCTCCCCGTGGATGACTTGAAGTTTGCCTCCCAGGCAAGCTGTCTTGTAGACAGGGACATCTCTTTAGAAATTCAGAATGTTGCACTGGAAGATGAAATGAGGACAAGCTTGACTGCAGCTCTCTGGCATTCCCTCTGCTGAAGGGGCTGGACCACATCCTACCAGCTCTCTGCTGCTGAGCTGTTTTGTCTGCAGATGCTATTATCATCACTGTTGTTTTTTCCCGCCATTCCTGAATTTTCTCCTGTGGCCAAAAAGGAAATAACAGAAATGGCCGCTTAGCTTGAGAGGGCCAAGCCCTCCTTTACTTTCTTTGGTTAAATAGACTGGGATTGTTTTTTTTCTTCCTTTTTCCATTTCTGGAAAAGCCATTAAAGCCTATCCCTCTGTTTTCCTCAGCTGCGTTTCTGATGATTCAGTGAAACAGTACACGTCAAAAGATCATCTTGCCAAGCATTTCCAGGTTCCTGTGTTCAAGTTTGTGGGCAAAGACAACAAGGTAAGTAAGCTTAAAACCCACCTTTCTGACACTGCATCATCCCTGATCTGACTGACTAGTCTCAGCACAGTATCGGCTCTGTTAGAACGCCAGGAGGAGGAATGGCAGGCCCAAGGCAGGTTCCACTGTGCCTGTTCTAGCTGCTGCTTCTTTTAGGAGCCTGAAATCAGTTCTTTAAAAGAGAGTAACAAAAACAAGTAAAATTAAACTAAATATAAAGGACATTTATGGAGTGTCGGTGGTATAGCTGGCTAAAATAGTGTTTTTCCAGTGCAGTCTTTGGGGTCCCTTCATATGCTGGAAGAGAAAGTCACCAAGCAGAAATCTGGGAGGTTAGCCACCTTGCACAGTATCCTGTCTTTAAAACAAAATGATTTATAGTTTTCAATCTCATCAACTTTTTCTAACATGTTTGAACAGATGCCCTTCAGTTTTCTAGATAGGAGGTTTCCAGATACCATTGACCAGGCTGCCCAGGCTGGTGGCAGTTTGGAGCAGAAGCTCTCTAGTAGCAGGACAGCTGAAAGGATAATGCCATCTTCCTAATGCAAATAGCTTTCCTTTTCTTTGCCAGAAGAAACCAGATTATTCAATCACTGTTATGCTCAGCCAATGCTGCTTGCTCCTAAAAGCATGAGGTTGCTTCTCCAGCCCCTGCGGAATCCCAGTATGGTTACAAAGAATGAGATCTTCCAAAATTCACAGATTTTGCTCAGCCATCTGTTTGACACTGCTGCCTCCATGTGCATCCTCCTGTGCAATGGATTTTGCTTTAAACCTCACCATTGATTAAACATTCACAATTGTTTGCTTCCCTAATCACAGCTTGCAGGGATCTTACAGCCCCTGTCATTTGGAGGGTAAGGAGCAACAATCCTGTCACTGTCTGCCTTACTTGTACAGAAAAAAGGGCAGCTGTCTCCCTGCTCTTTGTGCTCTCCTTCTTCCCTCAGCGACCAGCCCGAGCCCATCAGCAACTTGCATTCCCCTTGTCTCTCAGGCACCCACCTTTATGTTTTCCCAGTGCTTGTCAAATTCTCTTGCATGTTTCTATCAGTCCATCTTCTTGTGAAGCCTCGTGTGTTCTTGGCCTGCTTCCTACCACACAGCTGCTACTAAATCATGTAAGCTCTTCCAAGCTTATGCCTGGCATTTTCATCCCTTCATTTCACACCTTCCTATTCCCCGGCTTGCCCTTGGCTGAGAGGAGGCACCGTGCTCTGAGGAGACCTCAGCCCTCTCCTAGGCACAGGGGAAACTGGTGGCACATCCAGCTCGCTGTGGATGGCCATGGTGGCCAAGGATCTTGTTGCTGTGAGACAGAAATGGCTGCATGGTGTAACTTTCATGCTGCTGTCTCCCCAGGAAGTGTTCTTGCACTGCCGCATCCTTGTGTGCGGGGCACTGGATGAAAGCTCCCGCTGCGCCCAGGGCTGCCGGCGGAGGGTGCGCAGGTCGGCTGGGACGGAGGAGCAGGACGAGTCCGGGAACTTGGCAAACCACCTCCTGACAGGTGGCCCCATCAGAATTGACTTCGACGACTGACACCCAACCCCTGGAACAGCATCTCTGCCTGAGACCACTCTTAGCGGTGTTTTCCTTCTTGGTTGTTTGAGAAATGAGAGGTGTTTGACAAAGCCCTACTTGAACCTCAGGACTTGTTCCCTAGCTGTGTGATGGTTGGTTGCGAAGCAGCCTTGGCACTTGAGGCAGCCATCTGAGTACAAGCCAGATGGCAGAGCAGTTTGGTTTTAGCTCCATTCTGTTGGTTGAAAGAATCCTGCTGCTTTGCAGTCTTGACCCGTTACCCAAATTTGTCTGTCCCTACAGCCACCCACAGGTTCCACAGGACTGTTCATCTTGGGCTCAACGTACTATTCAAGCCCTTCTTTCATCAGATTATAAAAACAGTATTGTAGCTGAACGCGTTTGCTGTGCGGTTCTGCGAATGATGCTGAAGCTTTTGGATGTGCTGTGATTTTGGATGACCTTTAATAAAAATGTATAAAAATATATATCCCATAATGTGCAAGTTCCTTGGCGCTACTGAAGAGTTGTCAATTCAGGCAGCTGAAACTAGGTCTATCACAGGCACATTTGTAGGTTATTTTAAAGTAGTCATAGGTATTTAATAACGTTTTTTAATTGTCTTTTGATAATTGCATGCAGTTTGTGTCTCTTGTATTTAGCGTATCATTGTTCTTTCTTTCTCTTTTCTGTTTTCTCTCCATCCCTTCCAACAGTGTGGTGCCTATTGTAAGTGCTGTAGCACTTCTGTTTGAAGAAAAAGATCATTAAAAATCTAAACACGCCCACCCCAAGTGTTCTGCTACCAAATCTGTGTTTGAAGGTTGTGATGACGCATTACTCTGCACAGGAGGGACTGTGCCTCTGCCAAAGGGATTTGAGCAATGCATATTTACAAATGATTACTGCAAATACTTAATGTGGATGGTTGCTGGGGACAGGAGGCATTGCGGCCTTGTTTGTGGTCTCCTCGTGGGTAAGAAGTGGCTGGAGATGCAATTACTGGTGATGGTGGTGACATGATGCTAGTCAGAAATCCCTCTGAGCCACCAAACTCCTTCCAAAGAGAACAAAAAGGGTGATAGCTCGGGGCCCTCTGAGTATCACTTAGGAGCAGGACTGCTGTGTGGTGAAGGATTACAAGCGCAGATGGAAGGAGGTGAGCAGTGAAGAATGAAGAAAGAGGCAGGGCTGGGGGCTGAAGAAGCAGCTGTCCCCACTGGTGGCTATGGCACAGCAATGTGCTCACATGGTTCTCTGCTAGAGGGCTCACCATGTGCAGCCCCATTGTGTGTGGGTTGAGAGGTATGCTGCAGGTCCCCCTTAGTCTGCATTACTGATTTTCTGCTTCAGTTGGAAGCAGCAAATTGCTGCCAAGGCCAAGATTTGTTGCTGCTCTGAAATGGAGGGTGAGACTTTGTGAAGAGACCATTTAGAAGGGAGTCACAAATCACCCCAGCAATATTCCATTCCTCAGATTTATTTGTTCTGGTGACTGACATTTCAGTGATGAATGGGTGTTTGATGGACTGAGAGTTTTGTGATTTTTCTAAATGGCTTCATGGCTGCATTTCTGCTTTGGGGATATATGTGTGTGTGCATCCGTGCTAGACAGAACAAATGAAAATTTTCCTGGGAAACTAAGTGGAAGTGGAAGGACATTTTTCATGTTATCTAACCATATGTAATGAAAAAGAAATGAAAAAGCCCCCTTCTTGCATCACTATGCTCTCCTGGTTCTGCTGATTCACTTCTGCATTACCACCACAGTGGCAATTTCCTGCTGTCACTTCTTCACTCAGGCAGCCTCTGTTGCATGTTCTTATTTTGATAAAACAAGAGCTGGGAAATGAAATTAATTAGCTGGTGCATTCTGGAGAAGCAATGGGTGTTTTTGTTAATGTGAGATGGATGTGGGGAGTGGTGGGAAGGGGAGATTAGTTTCTCTGCTTGCTTTAGTTATGGTTCACATTATTTGGTTCTTCCTGACAAATTAATACAAAGCAGCCTTTCTGCTCCACAGCTTTTTGTTAAATCATTTGGAGGAGCCATAAGGAGGAAAAACTGCTCTGCATGGCCATGTGAATGGCACAGTGTCTGGTTTGTCCTGCAAGCAGGGTAGTGGTTCTGCTATCTGCCACTGCCCTGAGCCATCTCTACTCCAACAGAGAGGGAATGGCTTCTAGGCAGAGAACTAAACCATTTCTCAAAGTCTTCTCTCTCCCTGGTTTACCTTCTGCTTCCATCTGTCTTCTTTGTCAGCTTTACATCTTGGTCGTGAAATCAAAGGCCAGACTTGCATAAGAGCCAAGGGATTTGTTCTTCTATTTAATTTAATCACCCACACCACGGAGCAGAAACAACCACACTGCAAAAGCAGGCACTGAGTGTGTGGAAGGCACCACACTGGTGCTCCTGAGGGCCCCTGGGCACTGCTGAGTGTGGTTCCAAGTCCAAGCAGTGTCAGTGCTGCCTGCCACATGGAGCTGGCGTTCTGGCTGATGTCGCTGCATTCTCATATGAAATGAGAGTCAGAATGGTAGATGTTCAGGAGGAGCCATCTCCAGTCCATGTTTGTGTCCATTGTGGAGATGCAGAGATTGCTGTTTGAGGCACTGCTGCTGGAAGAGAGCACGCTGACCAGCCAGCTCAAACATCAGTAGGAGCTGAAGTCATCCTGCCAAAGCGCGAAGCCAACAGGAAGCCTCCAGGTAAGCACACTATCTTTGTCCTGTTCAGAGCAGAAACAAAGATGACCCAAGCTTTGGGAACCGAGCTGCGGAGTCCCATGTTCCAATGGCTGCACACTGCTGAGGAGCAGGAGCGGCATGGAGGGGAAGCCATTATTTGTTCAGCTGCAGACATTTTACTATACTTCATGCACCATTTCTATCCCTGAGTCACTGCCACCACTTGAAGTTTTGAGTTTTCCTGTTGAGCTGCTCGTGGCTTTTTTTCATATTCCCACAGCTTACTTTTGTAGTGAAAAATGTGCTTCTTCAATAGCTGCCCCACCAGCAGCAGTCTGAGTTGTTTTGTTATGAATGGTAGTTTGAAAGCACGGAAGAATTATTTATGTTAGCGGTGTCTCCGAAGTGTCAGTCTGTGGACAGAGATTTTGTTCAGAACCCTTGGAATCCTCCAGTGTATGTCATTGTCTGTTATCAGTTGCTTGCCCTGGCTTTAATCTGTTATCGGGTTACTGAGTTTGACAAGACATATTATTTAAATTGTGTCATAAGAGTGTGCTAACATTTAGAACTGGCAACAGGCATGATTTCACCAATGAAATGCAACATTTGGGAAGTGTTCGGAATGAGAAAGGTTTCCTTCCCATTCCTAGCCAAAAGAACGTGTTTCTTAGATGGCATATGAGCGTGTCCAGCCTCGCGCTCTGATAGACATATGCTGCAGTGAAACTTGGCAGTGCAGTATTCACTCTCCACTGGCATTAGCACAGCCAGGAAAGGATGTCATTGCAATTGACATTGCAACTATGAATGAAGGTCCTCCTCTATGGAAGACATCTCAGTGCACCTTATACTATCACTTCCAATTCCCTGTTTTTGTACCTTGGACGACTCTTGTTGTTGCAGGCTATTTGGGACCAGATGATTCTCATTGCTGTTCACTATAAAGCAAAGATGACTAGCAAGAATAGGAATACAGGGCTTAAATAATTTATAGCTCCACACACCCATTTAAACACAAACTAGAAGAAAGGTAATGAAAACGGACTTTCTATTCTTGTTATATTACCTTCTGTAGCCTTAACTTTCCTGTGACAGCTGGAAGAACATAGCCATAAATATGTTTGCAGGAAACTGAAGAATTTTCATGTCGTGGCATGCACACCCAATAGCAACTTCCTTTCAGCAAGAAAAACAGTTGAAAAATGTCTGCAAATGTTATATGTTGATGAAATTCTGCATACCATCTTAAATTCTCATTTTAAACATAATAAAAGCTCCCAATAGCAGATGGAAGTATTAACCATGTTTTAAAGAATGCCTTCTGAGATGACTGATTGCTCTCAGCTGGCAGCGTCTCTGCACCCACCAAGATAGCAAGTAAGCCCTGCCATCTAACAGATAAGCCTCCGGGGTTTGGAAAATCTCATCCAAGGCAACTGTGAGCCTTGTGTGTCCTTTGTGTGAAAGATGGAGATGGGTACTCAGCCATTTAGTGTTAACAGGGATCCAGAAAGAAAAGCTTGCTAGAAGATACAGGAAGAAAATAATTAAACAGATACAGTCTGGGAGTCACTGAAAAAAAAAATGCAGCTTCCTCTCCTGAGAATGTGTGAGAGTGCTGTAGGTGTGTAAGAGTAGCTGTGGATTAGTGCTCTGCACATCTGAGATGGGCTTTGGTCCTCTTCTGCCCAGGTATGAAACACACCAGTATCACAAACACGCCGAGTCCTTCTCATGTTGCCAAACCCCTGGGTGTTTTACATTGTTTCATCAAGTATTAAATAAGCAGAGTAGTCAGAGTGTGTAATGATAGAATAGAAAATGTGAGGGGTGCATGTGAGCATCACACTGAGAGCAAATCACTCCTCTCCTTCAGTCTCCAGAGATGGAAAAACGTAAATAGTGTGGCCACAGGCTGAGATTGTCAGAGGCTGCAGAGGCCTAATGCTTCACACTGCAAATGAGAAAGTTAAGGGGCAGGGGATACTAGCAGAGTGGCAAACAAACAAGTAAAGCCCCTTGTTTATAACCAGCACTGCGTCCTGCTTGCCTTTCCAGATCAGTCTGCAGAGAAAATTGGCATCAGATCATTCTGATAGAGCTGGAAAGGGATAGGGCAGTGTAACTGCAGCTGCGGAGGACAGCAGGCATCTCTGCCCTACTTGCACAGGCTGCCTCTCCTTTTGCTGCCTTCTGCTCCAAAGCTGCAGCCAATGCGTGTTGCTTGGCCAAGGTCCCTGTGTCCCATGCTTGGCCAGAGGGCTGCTGGAAGTCACTGAGAAGCGCCGTGTGTGAGAGGGAGCGTTGGCAGCAGCTCGTGAAGGCCAGGGGTTCTGCTCTGCTTCATAGCTCGTCTCGCTCTTCCTCGCTGCAAATGCAGGCGCTCCGCTGGCTGTTCATGAAGGGCCGGCAGCCCAGGGTCCAGACAGCATTGAACACGGTGTCTGCGACGGACTCACAGGCTGCGGGGAAGGAAGAGATCAGGCAGTCAGGAGTGGGCTCTGTAGGGCATTGGCAGGCTGAGCCCTGCGCTGAGTCCTGTGGTATTGCAGTTGGGAACATGGACTGTTTCTCTCTGGGTATTGTATTTGTACAAATCCAGAAGTTACCTTCAGCAAAAAAGTGGGGACTCTTCTCCTCCTGATGTGGCACCAACTTCCCTCCCTGCTAGCCACGTCTCTCAGGCTTTTCTGCTTGATGGATCACTTGCAGCACTGCAACTAGTGCTGTGTACCCAGCAGATTTCCCACTAGACACTGGCAGCACTGTTTCTCCCAGCTGCCTCTCCTTACAACTGTTTATAGCCACTATGAACTAATCTTTGCAGGTGTTTGGAAGGTGCAGTGCCAGCATGCTGTGACTGCAACAGTGTGCCTGACTGCTAGCCCCTTTCTTTCCTCTAAAACAGCCCTTGTCAGATCAGCAGGTTAATATAAGATCTTTTAAGGTTGTGGCTCAGTGGTGCTATCTGTAGTGCCATTGTCATCTCTTATCTGTGAACCAGAGCCCAGTCCCTGGTTCTCCAACTCATTGGCCCTTGGCCATGTACAGGTTTGAGCATGTGGCTCGCAGGCTCTGGAAGACTTTTTGATCTTCCATGAAGGTGTCTGAACTCTCAGGGAGGGCATCCAAGGATTAAAAAATTGCTTCTAGGGGTTTTGGTTTCCTTTTTCTCCTTTCCACGCATCTTTCCTAGCATGTCCCCATGTTAAATAACTTCAGATGTCCATCCCTGGGGCAGGAGCGTGTATTCTCCCTCAGCACTGACCCATCTTTAACACTACTGGGCAGACACCCTGCTCCCTTCTGCAGGTTTCTGCTTCGTTTGGCAAAGAGGTGTCTCCCTGTGCACACCCTCCCTTCCCTGCCACCACTTGTTCCCTACTTGGGGGATGTGAGCTGGGGAGCCTACCTTCCACCTTGGAGACAAAGCCAAGGCTGCGCTTGAGATCAGAGCAGATGGAATGGAGGCACCAGCGGAACTTGGCATCGCAGCGGTATTTGTTGGCTCCACAGGTGTCATAACAAATGTCCAGCTGGTTGCAGCACTTGGTCATGGCAGGGATACCCAAATCTAGCTGGGAAATGAAAGAAAAGGAGCATCTCTTGGCTGCTTCCTGGCCTCGAAATCGCACAGCCACAAGTGGCTGAGAATTTACAGTGCCCGACTGGCTCAGTGCCCCCAAACCAGAGGTATGGCAGAGCCTCCATTTCTCTTTCTTTGTTTTTGCACAGCCTGCTTCTTGGCCTAGTAAATCATCTAAAAGGGTTATCAATGCCTTGCTTCTTACAGATGTGTTTATGGGACCAAGGACAAACACAGCTTGCTTGGAGGGAACCTGCAGCTTAGCTAATAACTGTGGGTGGGTGGGGCAAGTCTGTCTCCTAGAGGAATGGGACTCATTAGCTAGTTAGAAATTCTTCCTCTTTTCAGCCTTCCTCATGCAGTATTTATTTAGGAGATGTGTTTTTTCTTCATTGCATTCAGTGCTCATGATTGCCTGCATAAGGAGGTGGCACCGCAGAAACGCCCACAAGGTTTGCAATGAAACGTGGTTTAAGGAACTAATCTAACATGAAAAATGGGCTTTAAAGGGAGGGTTTTTTGGAGCAGGAATCTGTCTAATTGCTTCTTCATAGGCAGCAGTAATGCACTGGCTGAATAGTAATTCCTGCTCTAAGAGCCTCCTGGGAGAGCTCTTCCTGGTGATTCCAATATTATTTCATTAATTGCCTTTAAAGTGGTGAAAAGGTACAGTATTAATGCCTACAGTTTTATTTCAGTGCTCAAGAGAGGCAAAAAGCATGGGAGGGACAAAGGGCCAGGCGAGGATAATACATTCAGGCATTGCTGCTTGTGCGTTATGTTAATGCTCAATTAGCGTAGGCCCTGAGCTGCCCAGTGTTGGGTGTTTTCTGTCCTAAAGGCAGAGAACTGATGATATCATTTTTTTTTTCCCCCACACTGATGCTCTGCTTAGCCAGCCCTTTTCTTCTTGTAGCGCTAATCTGCTCAGGAATCTTTCAGTACCTACAAAGCAACAGGTCAGGCCTTCATAAGCGTAACTCCTGCCTACATGATTCCTGCTTGTCTTCCATTAGCAGCTGAGGTTTAATGCTTTCCTGACTGACAATAAATGGGGCCATGCTTAGGCTGACTCCTCCTCGCCTGCTGTCAGCAGCCAGCCGTGTCTCCTGGCAGTCCTGGCAGACAGCTCATCCCCAGCACAACCCACTGGTACTCCCTTCTCCAGAGCTGGGAGGAGAAGCATCGCACTGGCAGCACGCAGCACAGCTAAGCATAGTCCCTCACCCACAACATTAGCAGCTTAGAGATGGTTAGCTGTGAGTAGAGAATTTCATTAGTTAGGAACAGTACATACACTTTGGGGTACCTTGAGCCCCAGAAAATAGGAGCTGCAGCCATTTGGTTCTTGGGGCTTGTAGTGAGGTCGTGGCATCGGAGCCTTCCCTGAGGAAGAAAGGAAAAACATGAAGAACACTGATCTTCCCAAGGGCTGTACCAAAGAGCTCTGGGACTCTCCCCAGCTCTTAGCCATGGGTGAGTCCCTCTTCACGGCTGCAGCTGGGGCTATCCAGCTGCATTCTTAATTCCTCCAGAAATCTCCTCTCCATCCCCAGTGTGCTCAGGGTGAGGGAGATACGGATCAATGCAGAGCCATTCCTGGCTGATCTTGGGCCCTGTGTTTGGTGATGTGCTGTTCTTTTAAGCTCTGTTTCTTCTTGTCAGCACTGATAACCATTTCAGATACTTTTCCCTTTTTTTCTTCCAGGGTACCTGAATTACCTGCCATCAATACAGCTGTAAGTCTGTTGTGTTTTTGGAAAGGCCTCACAGCAGAATCCCTTAGAAGGTCATATGTGGGAACACTCCCAGCACCTTCTAAATTAAAAACTGCCTGAGTGGTTTTGTTTAAACAACAGGCTTGCAACAAATAGCAAACCAAAACACTGTCTGGCTGTGGGATGTCAATAGGCAGCTTTCTCCAGCCCTACACAAATGCAGTAGGCTTCAGGGATTTAACTGTCTGCAGGCTGAGATAAAGCTCTCCTGCTGACTTTCTCAGCAGGCAGTGGCATTTGTGTGGGGAGGTATTTCTCAGTGCTATTGTCTCCCCTTTTTGTCCCCTTCAAATAGGCCAGATCTGGTTCCTGCTCCAAATAGTTTTCTAGTGCAGAAAGCATTGTTGTTTTGAGCAGGTAGAACTGAATTAAGAGTAGTGAAAGAACACCAATCAGTTGGTCACAGCACATTGCCATTACAAGATTGCCTTTGCACCAATACATAATTTAAGTCCATTGAGATATGCTGGCATTTTGATGGTTATGCTATAGAGAGAAGGGATTGTGTCTATAGATCGGCTGAATCTTATAACCCAAAACTCACAGGCAATACAGTGAGAGGAGGACTGCTCCCTGGATGCATTTCACAGCGCAAGTACAGTTTTGGAAGGGACCAAGAGCTGGGACTCAGAGTTCAACCCAAGCTGAGGAAGGAAGCAGAGGCAAGTTCACAGTTCAAGGTGGATTTTGCAGGATGAGAACAAATTTTAATGACTTGCTTGTAATATTGGCAGTAAGTTACGATCTTGCAGCACGTTGTCAGTTATGGGGTAAGAAGGGAGAGCAGGAGTGGGGCTATTTTTGGATATGGAAGTAACTGTTTCCAGAGAAAATCTTCAATAAGCTTAAGCTACAGCTATTGTGATGTCTTACACAGGTGGCTGAAGTGAAAAAATATCTGGTGAGTACTGCGGAACCAACAAAAGTGCTCAAGATGAGCCCATGTAAGAAAGCCACCTCCTCCTCTCTGACAAATTGAGCTTAATCATTTGTCAAGTGCACCTTTCTGAACTCCTTCTCAGCTAGATAAAGTCCAAGACACCACGCTTAACCTCTCTCCCACAGCTTGTTTTGTAGCTCAGGAAAACAAAAACAAAAGCAAGGCACCATTTACAAGTAATCCTCATTCTACACATAGCAACTCTGTGATTGATATCGCTTACTGCTTGCCTCTCCTATGGGCACGTCTGTGATGGGGAGGGGATGAGGTAAGTCCTGCCAGCTGGGTTTCATCACTTGCTACACAGCCCTGCTGAGAAAGCTTCTTCTGTAGAGTAATATTTCAGGGCACAGTCTCATTGGCATCATAGAGAACTGAGGTCGAGCTGCTAATGGGAAGTGAGTTTCCCTGATGCATTTTAATATCTCCAGGCTGCCGTAGCTGTACCAAGGGACTGCAGAACAGCCAGCTGGCTAGAGGAGATCTCTGGCCCATGCAGGAGGTCTCAGGCACTGCAGTGCTGGTACAGTGGGTCAGGGGAAGGCAATACATTTCTGGGTGAATAGATGGTCCTGGGGTCCCACACTGTGACCCTCCAAGTCCTGCCTGCCTAGACAGCTGGGAGAAGTTATTCAGGGATTTACTCCCTGTTCAGGACACTGTTCCCCCCAAGATGCTTACAGAGGTTTCATAGTAAGGGGGAGATATTTTCCAGCAAATACTTGTATAAACAAAATTTCCTGATTTAAGGGAGTAATCTGTCATGTTGTCTGTTTTCTCACCTCACCAGGTGCTGATAAATCCAATCTAGCAGCCAGAACAGCCAGTTCTTTGTGCTCAGCTGAAGATGGATGTGTCAATTACAGGTGAGTCCTGACCTTTATCGTGGCAAAATAAGCAATTATCAGTATCCCTTGTCTGAAATGAAAGAGTGGAATGCACCAATTTTATTCCTTGGCTGGAGAGAGAGCACTCAGGCCCTGATTCAGCAGCAAGGCAATACAGATGGCTGGCATTCATTCTTCAGGGCACAGGCATTTAGTCTCACTGGTTTGGGATCCTCCCTGCATCCCCTCCAACTACATGAGCAAGAGTCCAGCACAGGCAAGTAGTTCTGGGGGGGCCAGAAGGACCTGTGGAAGTATGTGAGCAGTGTTTGAGAATTGCTGCTTCTGCCAGTGCTTAATACTTGTTCAGGAAAGGACAAAAAACAGTGCTAAAGAAGTACTTGTTGTTTTCCTTTCAAGGTAAAGCATTTCTCTGATATGAAGCAGGATGTTCCAGAGGAATGGGCAGGCCTTTGCACAGGAGCGGGGCAGTGGAGCCAGGACAGGGGAAAGCCATGGCCTGAGAGCAATGACTTCTCTGGAACAATGGTGAGTCATGAGCCTCCCTGAATCAAGCTTCATCACCCATCTTCCCTTCCGTGGCCTCAGCACACTATAGCATCTGTATTTCTCACAATGTCTTCCCCACTGTGGGCTCAGGAGATGTTTCCATCGGGCTGAGGAACATTGCAGGTAGGCCCACACAGCCCAGGGAGACACAGTGTGCAGCCCACTTCCTAGAAGAAGTGGGATGTGTGTGGACAGAAACTGAGCTGGGAGGATCTCTCCAAAGCATAGAGTCCATGTCTGTAAACTGGAATGCTCAAGGCAAGAAGGGATGAAAACACCTCAGTGCTCACAGGCATCTTGCTCAGGCAGTCACCAGGGATGTGGGATGAAACTGGGAGGAAAGTACCTGGTGGGCATTGCTGGACGGGCAGGTGACAGAGGGCTGGGCTCTCTCCCAGGACAGATATGGGAAGCTGGCAGCAGGATGCAGTTCCTGCTGTTCCCAAACAGCAGGTTGGATGTTAAGAAAAACTTATCCCATAGAGTGGAAGTGCATTGAAACAGGGTGCTGAGGGGGCTGGTGGGGTCACCATCCCTGGAGGTGTTCCAGAGCCACAGAAATGAGGCACTGAGGAACGTGGGCAGGTGGGGGTGTGCTGAGTGAGTTGAGAGGGCTCTTCCGACCTGAATGATTCTATGAAGCTGGTTGGTATCCCGCTGATGGCTACTGCTGCCTGGGCCCATCCAGTGCTCTGTGTCCACACCAGGGGTGTGCCACAGCCCCGTTGCTCTGTCACCTGCGCGCTTCCAGGCTGCCTTTGCCTGTTGTCCCTGATCTGCCGCCTTCTTTGACTGCCCCCACTACAAATCAAACTCTTCCTTTTTAGTAAATCTCTCAAAGTCCAAGGCGAGCAGCACTGCCTCATTCCGCCTTGAGTACTAAAGTTCCTCCATGGTGACATGGGTTCCGTTTACTTTCCTGTTATCTCCCCTCCTCCAACCCTTGCTATTAGCCAACCTGCAGCTGCTGAATAACCCACTCCGAAGGTTGCTGAGATTACGGCTACCATTGGCTCCACCAACCCCTTCTCCTCAGGGCTGCTCTTCCTCCCTAGCAGGCCTGGTAGCTGGCAGCCAGGCTGCTTGCATACTCTTCTTACATCCTCTCCTCTTGTTCTGTTGTCCCTGGCACTGAGCAGGCTGCTTTCGTTAAGAGGGATGAGGAGGTGAGGGTTCCCTGCGCTGGAACCAGCAGCACAGCCATGACTCATGCAGTGACCCATCTGTGCTGACCAGGGCAGGGGTTTGGTTATGGGTGCAAGACGCTGTGGTCTCAGGGAAGGAGAGCTGTGGGTGTCAGGGAACGCAGGAGCAGGGAGAGAAGGGCTGTGCGGGGACATGGGGTAGCAGCGTGTCTCTGAGGGCTCCATCAGCATCAGATTAGGAAAGTAGTAGAACGTATCTGTCACTGGCATAGAGCAATGTGTGCAATGTGTAGACAGGCCGACTTTGCTGATGGCCTTGCTGCCCACCCCTGCGGCTCCTGTGCAGAACAGACAGACAGTGCCTATTGCAGCAATTGAAGCTGTCCCCAGCCCTAGACACAGTGCTCTGCCCTGTGTCCCCAGTGTGGGACACCCCTCACTTACCGTATCGACACCTGTATTGGCAAATGCCATTTTTCCCCCCGAGCAGTTCCAAGAAGGAGTCAAAGTAGCTGTTAACCGTCTCGAAGCTGTCCCGGATGGCCCCGATGCCCCACTCCGGAAAGTAGGACTCTGTGTAGGACGTTTGGGCGGTGTTCTCCTGCGTGGTTTCCTCGGTGCTGTGCCCCAGGCACAGGGTCAGGCACAGAACCGCTGCCTCCAGGAGCAGCCGCATCCTGCAGCCCGGACGCAGGCCCCGCGCCCTCATGCACGCCGATGTGTGGGCAGGGAGCAGTGGGAGCGAGCTGTGTGCGTGGGAGGAGGTGAGCACCCTGCTGCCCCGAACTTTAAACGCTGCTGAGGGACCGGGATGAGGTCACAGCAATCAGAGTGCAAAGTGCAACACGGGGTTTGGACTCATAGAGGAATACCAGGTTTGCATTTGCACAATCCCACTGGAACCGGCCCAGTTATCAGAGCACCAGGGGATTGGCTGCTGTGACAGGGTCCCCCAAAAGGCCCTTCCTAGAGGCAGAGCAGGGGCTGCTTGCTCACCAGGAAGCCCTTCGTTGCCCACCATGCCCTGCTGCTGCCTGCAGGGGGGGGGGAGTGTCTGCCTCCAGCCTTCCCTGCACTGCAATAGCAGCGCTGCTCCCATGAAGCACTGCTGATCCTAATGCTGGGGCATGTGGGCACATGTGGCCATGGGGGAGTTTGAAGTTACTCATTAAAAGAAAACAACCAAACAAACCAACAGCAATAGACAGCGCAAACCACTGATAAAGGGAAGAGCTCCGCTTGGGAAGCTCTGGATATGTCCTGCTCAGACACAGCCACTCTGCAGACTGCCCTGCAGTGCAGGCACCAGCAGCTGCTCCATTGGCCACTTCTTTTCTGGCACTGCACTGCCAGAGGCTCTCTGGACTGGAGGGGAGCCAGGCTGTTGGCTTTTCAGATGTATAGCAAACGTAAATGCAAATCCTGACACGTTTTTCAGGAGGCTCAGCCCCATGTCATGTTTACTGCCCAAGAGCCAGAGCCCTCCAGCACCCTGCTCAGGCCTTTACCTGCCCTGTGCTCCAGCTATGGGATAAGGAGGGACCACCTCCATGTCTGGGCTGCCAGTACAGGTCAGTGGAGGGAAGAGTAGGCAGCTGTTCTGTCCCTTGCTGAGCAGTGCAGAACTGGATCCAGCTGCTGCCTTCTGGGGCCTGTTCCCAGGCACTTGGGCAGGCAGTGCAGGAGACCCAGACCTGTTCTGCTGCTCAGGCCGTGCTGGGGATGTGGTGGTTGTGCAGCAAATGGGCAGCTTTTCTTGCTGGGATTTGTTGTCAGGCAGCCCCAGTGAAGCCATCCAGGTGGCTGTGCCTGGTGCACAGCTTTGTCACCTCATAGTCCCTGAGGTGATCCATGAGCCACCCAGTGCAGGCAAGCAAGGGAAGAACGCTGGCAGGGCGGCAAGAGATGCACAATGCAGTGCCTAGTGCGTGAGCTGTGTGCACTGTGCTGTGCAGGACGTGCAGGCTGGAGGCTCTGGGCAGCAAGCGTGAAGCCAGCGCCACTTGCAAAATCAATCAGGATTTTTTAGGAAAGTTGGACAGGGCTGGGGAGCAGCTGGCAGTGTGCAGGGCCAGGGAAAGAAGCTTCCCTGCTGGTTTGTCGCTTGCACCGAAGCAAAGGCCTGTGAATGAAAAAGCAGCCCTGAGCTGCTGCCCCAAAACGTGGCGGCTGCTCTGCCCTGCAGGGGGTGAGCCACCTTCCCCCCCTCCTCCAAATGAGGCTGCAGATGCCTCCTGCCTCTGCCAGCTTCTCTCTCCACATGACGGAGGTATGGGCGGTGGTGAATTCCGACAGCTGGGTTCTGAACCTCTTCCTGACCCAGGGCTGAGCAGCTCTGAACGCTGTGCATTCATTTCTGACACTGTAATGCTCAAATATAGAGCAGCCCGGGGCGGGGATGAGTCACTGCTCCTAATGGCACAGTCAGTGCTGGCGGTGCTGCAGCTTGGTGGTGGGGAGCACTGAGTGGGCAAGGGCCCGTTGGTGGACTTGGCCAGGGCCTTCCCTTAGTACTCTGCTGGGGTTGTGATGAAGCACGGGGGGACTGCACCCTTTGGGGGTGAGGTGCTGGGGTTGAAGCACAGGTTGAGGCAGGGGAGCTGGCAGCCCAAGGTTAAAGTTCGTGCCTAATGATGGCTGGGTCAAAGCCTGACTTGGGAGCCAGATGAGTCATTGGTTATCCATGCAGCTGTGTGATGAAACACCTGTGTTCCTCGAGGGGTAGCCCTGAGTCCCAGCCCACAGGATGGGTGGTAGGCTCTGCCCCTGTCCCAGCACCTCTGCTGGGTGGGTGGTGTCACCCCACCACGGCCATGCTATCAGCATGAGCAGGGATAGGGCAACGCCTCAGTCCTTGGGCTGCATAGAGAAGCGAGGGCAGATCCCGAGTTGCAGCCAAGGGTTCTGACAGCAGCACAAGGCTCTGCTCCACAGACAGCAGTAGGGCTTGTCACCAGCCCTTGCTACATTTTAGTTGTTTACTCATTGATTTTCCCCAGCTTCCTGATGACTGCAAATTAAGTACAAGCTCCGCTGTTTTTAGAGAAGCACGAGGACAGCTGAGGTGTATGAACTGCGGGAAAAGTCCAGCTACGGAAGCGATCAGCCCGGGCATCCTACGTGTCGGCGCTGTCTCCTGGATTGCTGGCGGTAGGTGTACAGTTGGACTAGATGATCTTAGAGGTCTTTTCCAACCTTAATGATTCTATGACAGTCTGATGTGTCCTCCCTTCCCCAGAACTGTTCAGAACTGGGTGTCTGACTTCCCATCAGGAAATGCAAGTATTTACCCTCCCTGACAAAAGGCTCCTCTAGCAGCTGACCCTTTGTTGGTCTGCTTTTGAGTACCAAGCCAGGAGTGCAATTACTTTAACAGCTGCTGTTACATCCCACAGCAGCTACTGAAAAAAGAGACCAAGGGCTGAGCCACGCTCCTCCCTCAGAGCTCTTGCACGCATGCTTCCAGCCTAGCATTACCTGCCATCCTCTTCTGCAGTCCATTAGAGCCTTATGTTTCCAGGCAAGACACAAAGCTCGAAGTCTGAGGGCATGCTTTAGAGGAACTAGTGGTATGAGCATCCCTCCACACCTGTCTGCCTGGATCATGAAGTGAAGCAAACGAGCTCTGCTTCCAGGAAACACATACAGTGATAGAAGTATGCATGATCAGATTTAAGACAGCCACATATGACGAGTTTGATGTGGAGGATTTTTCACTGCTAATGGCAGTGGCTTTTATTTTAAGCCCATTTTTTTTATATTAAAATTTTTATTACAAAAAATGTAACAGTAAGGCAGTTTCTCAATTCTCAGTCACTGCGAGCCAAACAGTTTTCAATCATCTTTAATACAAAACTAGATTCACACAGGAGCCACGCTCTTGATCCACGACAGCCCTTGGAGAAATGAAGGGATAAGGCAGAGAGGAACACCACCACCTGCATCACCACTCACACACTTAGGACAAGGTGTACAAACACTGCCGCAGCAGAAGAGGATGAAGTTTGGATTATCTGCAGCTTAAAGGAAAACCCTACGCTTTCTCTACCACTAACCTGGGACGTTTCAGTCTGATGTGCCTCAGCAGACTTGAGACTTGAGTTTTGGGAAATCTTCCTTTGAAACCAAGTGAAATTTTCCACTGTGAAAAGACAAACTGTTTCTTCTCTGAAGAACTGCAGGTCATTATATAGATCACTGATTGAAGAAGTCCTGCACAAAAACCTTGTACTTTCCAAGTGTTGCCTCTTTAGAGACCATTCTTAAAATGAAAGTCAGCCTTGGAGCTACCTGATAGCAGCTGAGGGAGGGACCTGCTCAGCAAACTGCCCTGTACGTTCCACCGATTCTTCTGGGCTCACTGTTCAGCTTTTGGTTTTGAACAGAGATAGGGGGAAAATTGCTTGATACAATGAAAAGGTGATTTTTCATCACTTCAGCCCTCTATTTTTCCATCCAACATGTGCGAGCCCCCAGCATTCTCTTACAGTGTCACAGTACTAGAACAATCACTGCCACATTTATTCAGAATTTCTCTCTTACCTTGTACAAATTTTATCTTTGAATTATTTTCATGTCAAGTAATTCCTCTGCCCGCTTCAGAAAGAAACAGCTGCTCTGTTAATAGCAAAACCAGACGCTGCTTTCCAAACACATGCGTGGTGGTGATGCAGTGATTCTTTCTGTGCTAGTTAACTGTGCAAAACAGGCTTATCTAAAGCCATTCAGAGATGCCTCTGAGCTACTGGCAAAAAATGAATGCCCCCAAACAGGATTCCTAACACCACACTGCTGTCTGTTACTTGCAGGGAAGCGGCAGGACTCACCCCTAGCCACCACTGCCTTCTTCTCCTGGAGCTTAAGAAAAGGGAGAAGATGGAAAAGAGAACACCATAGATAGGAAAAGACTGTACTGATATCATGTAGAAAGGTGAAAACTTGGGTAAGTAAGGATGTTACGTATTCTTTTTGTTTATACTTGTTACAACTTAGCATTATTTTTATCACTCCATTTTTTTTATTTTTTAAGAGTCTATTTCTATCAGATAGACACTGCTCTGTTGTACCAGCAACCCTGAATAAGTGAGCAGTACAGAACTAGTGGAGCTGTTTCTGACTTCTCCTTTTGTTAAGTACTGGATGGGACTTTGTTTTGCACCTTTCAAAAACACAAGCACAATACAGGAAGGTGCAGGGCTAAGGATAAAGTTGTGGAGGTCCCACTGCTAACAGGCTCAGTAGAAATTTAACAAGACATTTTGCAGCAAAGATTTTTAAAGTAGGCAGTGTTTCAAACTCAAGTACCATAAACTGCATCCTCCATATTCTGGAGGTATTTCTCACATGTAACTGTTGGTTTCTTCTACCTTTTGGCTCAATTTTCAAGATTTTGTGGAGGCAGAAAACTAAAATTGGAATTTTTTTCCTTGGTAAAGACTTCAGGCTTGACCCCTAAATCAGTAACAACCATCATCATTCAGGAAATCAGACTATTTAGGCAGAATCTGGTGCAGCTCACTTTAATTCTTGTTCTCATGCTAGTGGAATAGTCAGCCATTTAGCTAAAAATCCCACTGATGAAGAAGGATGGCTAAGGAAAGGGAATCTGCTGCAGTCCCTCCCTGCCCTGCTCAGCTCCTGTGCTGGGGGGAAGCAGGGACAGCAGTTATTCCTCCCACAGGAATCTCAAGAGCAGAACAGAAGTCCAACAGCTACAGCTGCCACACTCTCATCTCCCTCAGAGGTTTCAATGTCATCTCAGCTTAAGGAAGACTCATCACA